CAGCCACTCCTGGGAAGGCAGATTGGGCAATCTACTTTCATAGTGAAACCAACTCAGAGATCCAAAGAGGGGTCACTAAGAGTTGGGTCTGACTCCATGGTAGTGAGTTTGGTTCTTTTTTTATTTAAACTCAGGCTATAGTATTTTCAATCACCTTATATGCACGTGAAAGCTGGACAATGAATAAGTAAGACATAAGAATTGATGCCTTTGAATTGTGGTGTTGGCGAAGAATGGATTGGCAGAACAAACAAATCTATCCTGGAAAAAGTGCAGCTGGAATGCTCTTATAAGTGAGAATGGTCAGACTTCATCTCACCTTCTTTGGTCATGTGGTCAGAAGGAACTAGTCCCTGGAGAAGGATATCATGCTTGGTGAAGTGGAGGATCAGAGAAAGAGGGGAAGGCCCTCAACAAGATGGATTGACACAATGGCTGCAACAATGGGCTCAAGCATAGCAAGGATTGTGAGGATGGCACAGGACCGGGCAGTATTTCTTTCTGTTGTACTTAGGGTTGCTATGAGTTGGAATCGACTTGACAGCACCTATCAACATCTCTTTTTTGATACTCTCTATTTGATGAAATAGGAGCTCTGGTACCATAGTGCTTAAGGCACTTGACTGCTAACCAGAAGGCTGGCGGTTCAAACCCACCAGCCACTCCTCAGAAGGAAGGTTGGGCAATCTACTTCAGTAGTGATATCGCCTTGGAAACCCAAGGAGGGGTCGCTATGAGTCAGGTCTGACTCGATGGCACATAACAACAGCATTTAATGAGGTACTGTCATATCTTCATTTACTTCTTTAATCATTGTATCTTTTAGTTCTTTAGACATATTTAAAATAGGTGCTTTGATATCTTTGTGTACTAAGTCCAAATTTGGGCATTTTCAAGGGCAGTAGCTGTTGTCTGCCTTTTTTTTTTTTTTTTTTTTTAAACTGTTTATGGGGCTCTCTTTCTTGTTTCTTTACATGTGTAATGATTTCTTTTTCTGAAAACTTGACATTTTAGATAATATATTTAGCAACTCTGCATTCTGGTCACTCACTCTGGGGCTTGTTTTCATTGTTGTTTGTTTGTTCATTTTTTAATAATAACTTGTTTATAATAACTTTGTTTATAATAACTTGGCTGGACTATTTTCCACAACAGTGTGTAGCCTGTGATTCACTCCTCAAAGGCACAACCTTGGGCACACAGACACCCTGTGATGACAGTGGTTTTAGCATACTTGTATTTAACTTTCTCTTTCCTTAATTTCTCTTTTAAACTGTGTGACTCTGTTGGTATCACAGACTGCTGGTATCCAGTATTTAGCCTCTTCTGTGTAGTCTGATTGCACTATTGTTTTTGACAATAAACTTGTCTGGTATGATTCAGTTAAGTCCAAGACCTTTTGCAGGGGTAGTCTTTGAGGCCAGTCTTGGAGACTTGTTCCAATTCTGTTATGGACTGAATTGTGTCCCCCCAAAATATGTTATAAATTCTAACCTCTATGCCTCTGCCTCTATGCCAAACATCACACACAAAGAAAGTAAAAGGTCATTAAAAAGACAGGAAGAGCACTGAAAAAAAATAAACTAACAAATAAATAAATAAAAGATAATAAAAATAAATAAAAAGACAGGAAAGGAAGAGAAAAACAAAATGGATGTCAGAAGAGACTCTGAAACTTGCTCTCAAATAGAGAGTAAGAGTAGTTAAAGCAAAGGGAAGAAATGATGACATAAAAGAGCTGAAGAGAAGATTTCAAAGGGCGGCTCAAGAAGACAAAGTAAAGTATTATGATGAAATGTGCAAAGACCTGGAATTAGAAAACCAAAAGGGAAGAACACGTTGGGCATTTCTCAAGCTGAAAGAACTGAAGAATAAATTCAAGCCTCAAGTTGCCATTTTGAAGGATTCTGTGGGCAAAATATTGAACGATGCAGGAGGCATCAAAAGAAAATGGAGGGAACACAGAGTATACCAAAAAGAATTGGTCTACATTCAACCATTTCAGGAGGTAGCATATGATCAAGAACCAATGATATTGAAGGAAGAAGTCCAAGCAGCACTGAAGGAATTGGCAACAACAACAACAAAAAGGCTCCAGGAATTGACAAAATACCCATTGAGATGTTTTAACAAACAGATGCAATGCTGGTGGTTCTTACTCGTTTATGTCAGAAAATTTGAAAGACAGCTACCAGGCCAACTGACCAGAAAAGATTCATATTTGTGCCAATTACAAAGAACGGTGATCCAACAGAATATGGAAATTATTGAACAATATCATTAATACCACATGCAAGCAAAATTTTACTGCAGATAATTCAAAAACAGTTGCAGCAATATATTGACAGGGAACTTCCAGAAATGTAAGCTGGATTCAGAAGAGTTGGAACAAGGGGTATCACTGCTGATGTCAGATGGATCTCAGCAAAAAACAAAAAATACCAGAAAGATGTCTACCTGAGTTTTATTGACTATACAAAGGTATTTGACTGTGTGGATCGTAACAATTAAGGATAACATTGCAAAGAATGGGAATTCCAAAACACTTAATTGTGCTCATGAGGAATCTGTACATAGACCAAGAGGCTGTTGTTCAAACAGGACAAGGGGATACTGCGTGATTTGAAATCAGGAAAGGTGTGTCAGAGTTGTATCCTTTTACCATAGTTATTCAATATGTATGCTCAGCAATTAATCCGAGAAGCTGGACTATATGAAGCAGAACATGGCAGTAGAAGTGGAGGAAGGCTCACGAACAACCTGCGATATGCAGATGACACAACTTTGTTTGCTGAAAGTTAGATGACTTGAAGCACTTACTGATGAAAATTAAAGACTACTGTCTTCAGTGTGGATTACACCGCAACATAAAGAAAACAAAAATCTTCACAACTGGACCAATAAGCAACATTATGATAAGTGAAGAAAAGATTGAAGTTGTCAAAGATTTCATTTTACTTGAATCCACAATCAACACTCATGGAAGCAATAGTCAAGAAACCAGACATTCTATTGCATTGAGCAAATCTGCTGCAAAAGACATCTTCAAAGTGTTGAAGAGCAAAGATGTCACTTTGAAGACTAAGGTGTGCCTAACCCAAGCCATGGTGTTTTCAATCACCTCATATGTATGTAAAAGCTGGATAATGAATAAGGAAGATCAAAAAAGTGTTGATGCCTTTGAATTGTGGTGTTGGACTGCCAGAAGAATGAACAAATCTGTTCTGGAACAATTGTAGCCAGAATGCTCCTTAGCAGTGATAACAGCCAGACTTATCTTCCTACTTTGACCATATTGTCAGAAAGGCCCATTCCCTGGAGAAGGATATCATGCTTGGTGAAAAGCAAATGTCAGCAAAAAGGGGGAAACCCTCAGCGAGATGGACACAGTGACTGCAAGGATGAGCTTAAGAATAGCAAGGATCGTGAGGATGGTGCAGGACCAGGCAGTTGTTTTTGTTCTATAGAATGTAGGGTTGCTATGAGTTGGAGCTTACTCAAAGTCACCTAACAAAAACAGGTTATGTTCTAGCACTTAGAACATAATAGGCCTTCAGTAAATAATTACTGAGTGGATAAATGCATAAATGAACTAACTACTTTATGTTATTTGTTGTTGTTGTTAAGTGCCGTTGAGTCGGCCCCGACTCATAGTGACCCCTCCTTGGGTTTCCGAGGCAGTATCGCTACGGAAGTAGGATTGCCCAACCTTCCTTCTGTGGAGTGGCTGGTGGGTTTGAACCACCAGGCTCCTGGTTATCAGTCAAGTGCTTTAGCCACTATGCTACCAGAGCTCCCACTTTATATCACCTCTTTTATAGAAGAGGAAACCGAAGCTCTGAGCTTAGTGGTGTCATTAGGATGTTGCACCAGGTAACATTGTCAGAGATGACACTAAAATGACGTAGGGCGCGGGGTCTGTGGCCATGCGTCCTTCCTCAAGGCCTGTGTCACCACCAGTCACCATACCCCAGGATGGGGACTCAGCACCAGGCGCAGTGCGCGAACTTCCAGTGCGGAACCAAACTGTTGTAGGTGGGGATGGGAGAGGGGGGAGAAGGGCTCCACATTACTAGGGCTTGCTACTTCCCGCGAGGTCCTAGGTTAGGCCGTCCACCCTCTCCTCTCCCGGGCGAGTGCGGAGCACGTGTGGGCCCCACGCGCCCTGGGTCAGCTCCCCTTCTGTGGTCGACAGATGGGACTAGTGCACGCGGGCCCGCCCCTTGGAGGCCCCAGCTGTAAGACTCCGGGAACCAGGTATAAAAGGGCAGTAAGCAGACCCACCCCGGTCAGTATCCCCTTCAAGTCAAGACTTTCAGCACGCGACTCCCGCCGGAGCCGCGGGCGTTGGTTATCACAGTCATCGTGCGTCGGGGCAAATCGGCTCTTTGCTTTCTTCTCCAGTTTTCCCCGCCGGCTCCGGGAAACGCGTCCCAAGGCAGGCTCCTGACGGCCTGCCAGCCCGGAGCGGAACCTATCCGCGCTGTCCCGGAGCAACCTCCGCGGCCGGTGGCTGGGGGCTGCGCCGCTTCCGCGGGTCGTAGGCCCCGCCTCCGACGCCGTTCAGGGTCCGCAGCCCATGGAGCGGTTATCCAGGCTGGAAATTCCACCAGGGCTGCAGGTGCTTCCTGGATGAGCGCTGGCCGTTGGCCATGAGGCGCACATGTGGCAAAGCGGCTAACTCCAGGTACCGCGCCCGGGGCTGGGTTCCCGGGAGCACTTACGGCCTCTCACGCTGACATGTTCCTGGAGGGAGGAACCTTCGCCAGTTGTGTCACTTGCACAAGGCAGGATTCACTTGCTTGTCTCCCTGAAAGGGCGCCTTGCTAGTAGGTGTTTCAGTAGAGGGCCTATTTGAGTGAGGAACTCTACTTAGAACGGAAAAAAGTTTGTAGGGGAGCTCTTGAATTGATGAGCCAATGGTCAGTGGAGAGGCACTTAATCCGACAGGGATTTAAGGGAAAGGCATTTCTCACAGCCTTCCTAGTCACCTCAAGCAGATGATCCGAGACGGCTTCCAGGAAGTCGTGCTGTGGCTCCTGAGGTTTGGGAATATCTTTGAGTCTCCCTGGCCGCTTATAAGCTGTCGCTCACCATCATCAGTTGCCGCCTGATTTCAGTGAAAGTGTGGAGACCTCTAGGGGATGGTGACAGATGGTGGGGTTCGAACTAACCTCTCTGCTCCCTACAGTAGCCTGAGAGATGAACGATTCCATAAGTTCACACCAAGGCTTATAATTTACCCCAAGTGGTAGGGCTGGGATTCAAACTCTTCTGTATCCTACTACCATGTTTGTCTAAATCAGTGTTTTGTGTTCCTCTGGGCTGGCCTTCTGGGGAGCATAAGAGGACCTCACTGGGAAAAGAACTATCTATATGATGTAGAATGTGCTTGTCTAGATCTGTCTAGGACCTCTGGTGGCATAATGCCTAAGACATTTGACTGCTAACCAGAAGGCGCAACCAACCACTCCTCGGAAGGAAGACTGGGCAATCTACTTCCATAGTGATACTGCCTCTGAAACCCAAGGAGGGGTCGCTATGAGTCGGATTCGACTCCACAGCAGTGAGGCAGTGAGTTTTGATTTTTTTTTTTTTTTGTTAAAGACCTGTCTATTGGGCAGGCCCTGAGGCCAGGATGAGACTGTGTGTTCCCTACCTACAGTCAGTCTTTTAACAAAAGAATACTGACTAGTCATCTGTGATTGTGAAATCAGGAGCATTTTCACTAATCAGATGTGAAAATGGCACTCTGTATTTTTGTGGAGAAGTAAAAATCAGTCTTAAAAAAAATTCATCTCAAAGACAAGACCATGGATGCTTTACAGTCTGCATCTGGCATTCATATTCTGCTCAAATTTGTTTGTTCCATACTGCAGATGAAAGAGAAGTACCCCCAGTGCATTACAATAACTTCCTTGTGATTTGCTGCAGAAGTTAAGAGGAGGAGGTATGCTTCCCTGGAAGTCCACTGTGGCTGTTTTGTTTTGTTTAACACTGGAACACTCAGGTTTCATGAAGAGTGTGTGCCCTTGTGAATAGTGGGCATCTTGGAAGTGTCACTCATTTCCTAAGATCTTGGCTATCTCTTCCTTAGATTTGTCAGACTCAGACTCCACAGATTCTGGCCCAGAATTCTCCTGACCCAGCAAACCCAGAGTCCTGACTTCCTGGCCAATGTAACTTGCCTCACTGATTGACGCCAGATGCCATCTCTCACTAGACAAGAGATATATGCTGTCAAGCTAGGAAAAGGCCTTCCAAACCATGTGACTTCATGTGAATCCCAATAAAATGCATGTAAGAAAACATCTGAGACATAAGGATTTGGCAGTGGTCCTCAGGGAGTCTGGGGTCCTCCTCTGAGAAGGGCAGAGGGCCATGTGTTGGTGGTGGAGGAGAAGCCCCAACGAGTGCTTCAGACTTGCTTGGATTTCATTGTAGCTTGTGTTCAAGAGAAGATCTTCACTAGTAACCTTCCTAGACCTCTCTGTTCCCTAACTCCTTTACGCACTTTGGGGATGGTAGAACCACTGCCATTTCCACAGGGTCTTCATGGCTGAATTCAGAAATCTGAGGGAGCAGGAAAAAGCCACTTGTGGGTATAGTTCCACACCTCCAATTAAAAAAAGAAAAGTTTTTAACCTCTATTTGTTAGAATATAATTTGTGCCCCCCTGCCAAAGTTGCTTTTGTCTAACTAAAAATCAAGTAAGTGAACCTTGGACAAGTATATCTGGAGGTTATATTAATAGTTAAGGTATCTAAAAAAAATTAAGTTTTTAATTCACTTGGTATTTGGATGTTGTTCTGTACACAAATTCCATTGGTCCTTCTGGGAGGAGGTCATACTTTTTCCAGAATGGAATTGCCTTCTGTCAAAGTTAAAGGGAATGTGTTTGCTGCTGTGGTTTTACCAGTAGGCCTGTCTGGTGGAGACCAAGAAGCTCAAAGGCATATTTTTTTTCTCTATGACAAGTAACCATGGTTGGGATTGGGAACAGGAATGGGCAGAGCCCACAGCTTCTGGAAAGGTTTGGGTGAGTTCTTGCAGCTGAGTAGGGGAGATGGCACAGCCCTAGCATCCAAAGGATCATTGGATGTGAAATGCCATGCAGCTGGTGATTGAGAACTGTTTACAGAGATGACAATATGGTGTTCATTGGTCATTGCCACTTCTACCTGGGGACTTGACAGATGGTCAAGATCATTCTTCTACATCTGATCTGCTGAAAGAAAGCATAAGTAGACATCGACTTTGTCCCAGACCAGAGTTGTGCCCCTTAGCTGAGATACTTTCATTTTCTGTGATAAGCTACTGCATGACAATACTGCTAGGGTCATGAGATGCCCAGTCCCCATGAGTAAGAAAACAAAAGGTACCATGACATGATTTAGGGCTTTGGCCTCTTTATTTTCTTTCTACAGTTATTTCCACGCATAAAAGACTTCATAAAGCACTATGGCTCTGGCTGTACCCCGAATGAGCTGCTGAAGATGGAGCTGGCTATTCTGGACAGACTGTACTAAGACCTCTATATTGGGACGCCGCTGGACTTCTTGACTGTAGTGAGTACGAGGAGTTTGCAGAGTCTACCCTAGACTCATTTGTGCCTTTGGAACAGCTGTTCACAATATAGGATGGCAAAGCACAGGCGTGCACATGTCCTTGCACATGCACCACAGTGAGGTAACCCACAAGGCTCATGACATACAGAAGAGTGAAAATGTATCTTAAATAGACCCAAATCCAACACAGTTCCACCAGACTCCCACCTGTAAAGGACATTAAATTAACTTTACAAAGGTTTTTAGACGGCACTATTATGGTTTCTTTTAAATACACACTGCAAAAATATTTCACTTTCCATTCTATGAATACTGTACATAAAAAGCTGTCTGCTTTTGCTACACTTTACACACATTCACTTAGCTGTCTTTATTCACCTACACACAATCCTTTTTAGGCTTTAGACCATATTGATCCGGCACTTAAAAAAATATCATACATTAGTTTTGTTTTTAGTTAGGGGAAGGATGGTCATCCTTAAGGATATGATTGTTAGTAAGGCAAAATTATGCAATGTGGAAATGTCATGGGTTTTTGTCTGTTATGAAGCATGAAGATTAAATCTCAAAGGGCTGTTTACCACTGTTGCCAAGTTACAGAGCTTCTTATGTCAAGCAGGTACAAGTAGCTTTTCTGCTGCCCTGATCTTGAATATTATGCTTCTATTTATTGGAAGTGAAACATTGTCATCTAGGTACTTTAGGCTCTTTGTCATAGAGCAGACTGTTTTTTCTCTCCAAGATTCAAGCTCAGCTTGGCTATAGAATGGACATTAAGCCTCAGGCCCCATGTCGGCCTCTGGATGGGAATGAAAAGGGTTGGGCAACATTTGATGCTCCTTGATGGAAATTTAAATTGTTTGCATTTTTGGTCACTGATATATGAAAGGTATGGGGTTTTCTGTTCTAACATTAAAAACCATGGTCCCAGTTCCACGCCCTGGTGGTACTGGGCTGGCCCCATGTGGTAGAGCTGCTGTCTCAGAGGAATCCTTCCCGCCACGTCGCGTCCCTGACCAGGCAGCTGCAGCACTGTATGGCGGGCCACCAGCTGCTGCAGTTCAAGGGCTCCACACTGGCCTTGGTCATCATCACCTTAGAGCTGGAGAGGCTCATGCCCGACTGGTGCACTCCTCCTACATCTGATCTGCTAAAGAAACACAGGTAGACATCAACTTTGCCCCAGACCAGGCTCTCAAGAGTTGTGCCCCCTTAACTGATACACTTTGACCCTCAAAGGGTACCTAGGTTCTTCTTGGCCCCCGTAGGCTCCAGAGATACTCTGGCTATGATGATCCTGGGAAGAGTCCAACTAACTCTTGACCATGCCCATCGGGCTTTGGATATGGGATACTTGTTCCCTTCATTAGACCAATGGTGGTGGCTTTCTATGATAGTGAAAGAAGCTTCGTGGTGGCTTTCTATGATAGTGAAAGAAGCTTCATTTCAGTGGCAGCTCTTGTAGTCAAGAGAATAGGGAAATATGTCTAGCTCAGGAGGAAGGAACACTGAGCTTAATATTGGGGACTGTGAATTCCATACCCCTCACCTTCCATATGAGGGTGTGGTGTCAGGCACTGGGGCACCATGAGGCAGGTTCTGGGTGTTAGAATCCTTAAGAATGGACAGGTTAAGATGGAACGCATCATTAGGCAGATGGCACTTTTACTGAGGTTGGAGATGGATGTCTCTGAGATGGTGCAGTTAATGCTTTTAAGTTGGATGTTGGTACCCTCCTGAAGTTGTGTCATGCTAGCATTTTGGCACTCAGCTGCCTATTCTTTAGACTGCACTGTGGTTCTGCTTCAAGACTGGTTGCTCTGTTTTAATTATAGATTGAGCAGTTCAGCCACTGTAAGAAATCTGCAAAGCAGCAGCTGAGAAGATTTTAGGCATCATCCCACAGAGACAACTTTCTGTTTCACCAGCCAGCCAGCTTCTCTGCTCAACCCCACTGTCCTCCAGAGCATATGGGTTTTCTCCTTGCTTAAGAACAACTAAGAAAATGCTCCTGGCAGAGTCCTTAGAAGAAAATTAGGGTAGAAGAAAGCAAACCAAGGTCACCACAGATAAGGGTGGTCCAAAGCCTCACAGACCACAACACTACATTGTTTTCTTTGGGCCTGAGAGCAGGAGAATGAATGCTCATACTGCAGATTGCTTTTCTTCCTTCTTCAGCAAGGCTTGGTATTGGCTGCTAAGAGAGCTGGAATATGAGGCCAGGAGAAGGTGAGCCTTACTCAGGGCTCAACAAAATTCCTCACAGCTGAACCAGTAAGCAACATCATGATAAACAAAAGATTGAAGTTGTCAAGGATTTCGTTTTACTTGGATCCATAATCAGTGCTCATGGAAGCAGCCGTCAAGAAACCAACTGATGTATTGCATTGGGCATATCTGCTGCCAACAACCTCTTTAGTGTTAAAAAGCAGATGTCGTTTTGACAACTAAGGTGCTCCTGACCCAAGCCATGGTATTTTCAATCACTTCATATGCATGTGAAAGCTAGACAATGAATAAGGAACACCAAAGAAGAATTGATGCATTTGAATTACGGCCTTGGTGAAGAATATTAAATATACCATGCCAGCAGAATGAACAAATCTGTATTGGAAGAAGTACAGCCAGACAGCTCCTTAGAATCAAGGATGGGCAGACTTTGTCTCTTGTACTTTGATCATGTGATCAGGAGGGATCAATCCCTGGAGGAGGACATCATGCTTGGTAAAGCAGAGGGTCAGAAAAAAGAGGAAAAACCATGAGACAGACTGACACAGTGGCTGCAACAGTGGGCTCAGACATGGCCACAATTGTGAGGATGGCACAGGACCAGGCAGTGTTTCATTCTGTTGTCCATAAGGTTGCTATGATCAGAACCAACTTGATGGCACCTCACAACATCATCATCATAAACATCACCACCACTTAGGGTTAAAGGGTCAGGACTGTTTTTGACTGACTAGTCCTTGCTGCTCTGGCCTCCAGAACTGGCCAGGTCCTTCTAGCATCCCAAGCTTATACCAGCCACATGTGCAGTCCATCATGTCCTAACTACCCTGCCGGCCACTCTGAAAATGGGATGATCTCGCCAGTTTCTCTTACCCTGACTTGGCTATAACTTATATCTTCCCTTCACAAGAACTGGATCATACAGTATTTTGTTTAATGTACAATAATTTGAGCAAGCTTCAAGCATATTTTTCCTTATAATGCTTAAGTAGCTTATTTGTTTAATTAGAGGACTGTTTATTCCAGTGAATAGGCATTATAAGGTAACACCTGTTGGGGGGTACCACTCTGAAAGCTTTTTGTTAGGATGAGTAGGAATTGAGATCAGGCTTGCTGCGTCCATGGTGCTGCAGGTGGAGGAGGTGACCAGCATGACTGAGGGGTGAGGGGGAAGGCCAGCTGCCCCTCTGAAGCTGGGATACTATAGAGCCATTCTCTAAGCAGTGGCATCCAGCTGGCGTCTTTGCCAGCTGGGGTATAAGCAGTACTGGGGGTATGAATGACTGTGCCACACGTTCAGAGGTGGCTTGTGAAGTCTTTGCATGGTAAGCACTTTTTTTGTGAATGTGCTAAGCATGAGGGAGTATGAGCTGCTGTTAGGTACAGAGTGGCCAAGGACCAGATAGACTGTAATAGTATCTGTACTATAGTGTCAGACACTTCTATACATCTTGACACAAATTTGGTTGTTATATAGTATTTGTAAAAATAAAAATTGCTTTCTGAATCTTACTTTACACTTTAGGCATGAAGTGCATTTGGACTTGCTACAGATACACTTGGAAGATCATCTCTTAGGTTACACCAATCACAGTCCTCTTGCCAGCACCCATTTTACACTGGAGGTGCTGAGGGGGCAGCATCCTGCTTGTGCCACAGCTCCCACGGTGGCCATGACTGCCCTCTGTCTCATCCCTTCCACTGTGAGTAGACAGATAGTGCATGGTCCAGGGGCTCATCCCAAGGTCCTGCACCAAAGTTTTGGACTTTGAGGAGCTGCTGGGAGGCATCTGGACCTCTTAACCAGGTAACTCTAGGTGTAAGCACAGCCTGTTCCCAAAGATGAATGACTCTCACACTCTTGGAGAAAAGAGATAAGACCTGTGAGCCCCAGGGACAGCCTGACATTGCTCTACCTATATGTAAACAATGTAGCTCGTCTCTTCGGAAGCTTCTTTATTGCCAGAGCATCAGCTGTGTTAAAAATACAAAGCCCTGTGTGCTGTTCAAGTTTGCCTTGCAGTCCCAGGACCCATGCTACCCTCTCTAACTGTACTTCTACCACTGATCCTTTCCTTTTTTGGCAGTTTTGGCATTTTTTTTTCCTGAGATTAGGAAGTCAGCACCCACCCTGGCTCAGACTAGGGGGCACTGTGGAGGAAAATATAGACACAGTCCACCTATAGAAGGGCAGACGTGTGAAGGACTGTGGCTGCAGAACAGGAGATGGGAAGAAAGCTCAGAGGCAGCTGCTATGGCAGCAGGAAAGGCAGATGGGCTGCAAAGGGAGGTACAGTGTCAGTGAGTGACCTGTCCAGATGGCTCTTTCCCCAAAAATGTGGGAGCAGAGTTGTATAATGTTCCTTCCACCAAGGAGGGCCTTCTCTCTTTGGCTTCCTGTAGTCTCTGTCCCTCAAAGTTTGGTAAAGACTTTGCTTCCTGCCTTCCGCAGAGGTGAGCTACACCTTTATTAGGGCCATCAGCACCCAACCTCAGATTGTGTGTTCTCATTTTTTGCTACCCCAGTGTCTGACCTACTGCCTAACAGAGAAAGGTCCTCAACAAATGAACCCATGAGCTTGTCACTTCCTTCAGCCACCAGTCTGCCCTTCCTCAATTTGCCCACCCACAAGGACCTCCCACCTCTACAAAACCATCTTGGATCCATCTGTCAGACTGCATACTTTAACACTATCCACATTGTCACTGCTCTTTCATCATCCCACTGGGATGCCAAGGGGCAGCTGTAGCTTAGAAATTACAGGTACAAACTTCCTAGGTTCAAATCCCAACCCCTCCAGTTACTAGCTATGTGACCTTGAGTAGTTACTTAACCTTTCTGTGCCTTAACCTAAAAAAATGGGAAGAATAATGGCACCTAATCTCAGGATTATTATGAGCAGTAGAGGAATTAGTGCATGTAATGCACTTTAGAGCAACGTCAAGCACATGATAAGTACTATAAGATTAGTTATTCTATGTCAAGCCTCTGAGATAAGGATGTTAAGTCCTCAAGGGCAGGGTGTGCCTTCTCTCTTGTCTACACAGCATCCAAAAAGAAAACCAAAAACCAAACTCCCTGCTGTAGAGTCAATCCGACTCATAGCAACCTCTCCTGGGGTTTCCGAGGCAGTATCACTATGGAAGTAGATTGCCCAGTCTTCCTTCCGAGGAGTGGCTGGCTGGTGGGTTTGAACCACCAACCTTCTGTTTAGCAGTCAAATGCCTTAGGCACTACACCACCCAGTCACCCAATAAAGGTAGGGAACACAAGTGGCATCTTCTCTTTCTTGTGACTCTTTCCTCCATCCCACACCCATCCAGTAGCCCCTCACGGATGCCCAGAGCAGAATTCATTAAGACATAATTTCTACAGAAGTTGATCTGATTAGCCCCCACAAAATTCACAGAAAAGACAAGCTGTATTTTATCACAGTTGTAGTGGATAAATAGGCTCAGGGACCTTGTTAAATCAGAAAAGCTACTGTCCAAAAAAGACACCACAAAAACTCAAAATAAATGCAAAATTTAATGGAAAAAAAATGAGTACAAAGTGAATGGAAAGGAACAAAAACAGTCAATGAATGAAGGAGTAAATGAATTAATGAATGAAGCAGTTTTAGAAAAGCATGTTAATAACTAGCAAGCCATGTTTCCTTCAGGCCTCTTATCCAGTACTATGAACCCCATTTAACAAGAAACCCATAACTATACACACACAAACATTTACGTGGTCAGTGTGTACAATTACAAACCACCTAGACTCAGGCTACCCATAACTAGGATCGCCATACATCCTGGTTTGCTTGGAAGGGTCCCAAGTTACACCCGATTTAATTAGTAATATTCACTCTTAAAAGTGTCTTAGTTACATGACAATAAGTTACATGATGATTCTACCCAAAACCAACATGGTTTGTGAAAGACATGACAGTAAATGCCAACATGATCCCACACAACAGCCCTAATAATGTCAACGGATGATACCAAAAGAGAAACCCAAATCCAAACCCACTGCTGTTAAGTCGATTCTGATTCATAGAGACCCTATAGGAAAGGTTAGAACTGTCCCATAGTGTTTCCAAGGCTGTAAATCTTTAGGAAGCAGACTGCCACATCTTTCCCATGGAGTGGCTGGTGGGTTCGAACCACCAACTTTTTGGTTAGCTGAGTGTGTAACCACTGTACTACCAGGGTTTCTTGAGAAAGAGAAAGAGGAGTAAATCAGACCCTGCAGACAGGGCTTCCATCCATTCCATAAGGGGTAGTTTGTTAAATAATGGCAAGCCTTAAGCTCACTTTATGCACCAAGATTAATTGGTCTCAGCTAAAGATGACAAAATTCCAAACACAAATAGCAGGGGAAGAGAGAAGTGCAGTGAGGCTAGTTAAAGCTGATGAAGCCCTTGGAGGGCAGCTAAGTCCCCAGAAAATGTTAGTCTGACAGGTCTCTTCAAAGATGCTGAGAAGGCTTAGGCCCACAGACAGGTAACCAGGCACAATTACTGCCTTCCAGGATGCCCTGGGTGGGGCCTGCAGGCGGCAGTGAACAAGCAGCAGAACCTGCCTACTCCAGAGCCAGCCCCTAGGTTGACCCATGATTGGTCCTCTTTTCTTATGTAACCAGTGGACATGCTGGTCATTGAGCCTCATCTGCAGAAATGTATCAGCTGAGAGAGGCTATCTGAAAGGTCACATTTTGACCCGAGTAAATACACTTGAAGACATACAATTATGCTAAAGGCAAGCCACTCACAGTTCATATCTGCTTTGCGTGTGTGCCGTCGAATCGATTCCAACTCATAGTGGCCCTACAGAACAGAGTAGAACAGCCCCATAGGGTTCCCTAGGCTATTGGTTTTATGGAAGCAGATTGCCCCATCTTCCTCCTGTGGAGTGGCTGGTGAGTTTGAACTGCTGAACTTTTGGTTAATAGCCGAGTACTTAACTGCTACCCTGCCAGGGCTCCTTAGATCTGCTGATTTACCTTTTCAGATCATGATACTGAGATACCTGTTTTCAGTCCTGACTGTGAAACTGATGAGGCTTAATTCTTGGGGTACTTCCAAGGCCCTGTACCTAATTTTATATTTATATGTTTTCCTTAAAGAAGGCGTCCCAAATTATACAAGCTTCCAGTCCTACAAAACCTGGATCTGTCCCTGGTTATGGCAAAACATTTGGCAAATTTTCACTTGACGCATTAACAGAACCTGCCCTGGTGTGCGGAGCCCCTCTTTCTGGCAGCACCTTGGTGGGCACACACAGCTCACCCCTCAGCCCCACTCTGAATGGGAGCCCATCTCAGAGGGGCAGGAGGAAGCCAGGACGTGGTCATGGAAATCAATACAGCAGGCCAAGGCAGCAAGGCGAAAACAGTGGTGGAGAGAAGACTGAGGGCATGAGAAAAGGAGCTACCGGTCCAATAATAATTTGGCACAGCTTCCTAAGGCTTCCAGTTAGGAAGCACACTAAACTGTGAACTTGAGGGTAGGAGTTGTGCGAGCCTCTGAGTAGCCCCCGTGTCCAGCACAGGGCTTCATGAACATTAAATGAATTCCTTCTTTCCTTCTATTCATTTTTCTCTTTCACTTTACCAGGTTTATTTTCAACCTTCATAATCCCAATAGCTGCCAAATCATCAAGAACATAAAAGAATCAGTGCTGCTAGTACTTTCTTAAAATGTTTCTGTTTAGAGTGCAGCTGAAGGGGAAAAGTGCTTTTGCTGGGGTTTGTTTTTTTTTTTTTTTTGCTTCAACTGTCCACATATACCAGATACCTTCAGATCTTTGCCCTATGACTCAGCCAGCAAAAAGGAAACAATGGCTGGGAATAAAAAAAAAACTTCTGAGGACTCATTGTACATGGAACAGGCAGAGTTGTGTTGGGGTCCTAATTGAAGTCAAACACTTAACACACAGACGTGGCATTGGTCCATGTTTACAGGTAGCACCTCTGGGCCACACAGACAATGGCTTTGGGCTGCTGTTCCATTTACATTCACAGTGAAACACTGGACATAATCTTATTCATAGTCCACTTTCATCCGTAAAGAAATTCCAAACACTGTCATTACAGGAAGTTTATTACCCACCTCTCCCTAGATAGGGGTACTTTGTACATAAGAAAGGTTTAGGGAAATGTTTAGTTTTTAAAAATCAGGGAAACTGTTACTTATGAAAATAATGGGAGAGGGTATTACTTGTCTTTATGCTGGTGCCAAAATATAAATTTAGGAGTGTTTAAAAAGTTATTGAAATTAAGCTCTAGGTTAGAAAAATTAAAACAAAGGGCAATTGGGTGAATTTTGCAGCGAGTATACCAGACCACCGGCTGCACATAGGGCACCTCATAAGTTGTCATCTTGACGCTGAACAATTAGGCCTGGCATCGCCGGCCGGGGCCTTCGCTAGAGAGGCACATGACTGCTCCGTCAAGGAATAGTGACACTGTAAATGGAAGACCAGCCACTGGCTCTGAAAAAAATAAACCTCGTCAGTTTTTGATTCCAGCATTCATGGCTTTTACGTGTTTGCATAGAGAGGGGTGGCCTGCCAGGCCCAAGGGCAGCCTGGGGCCGGGGCGGGGGTGGGGTAAAACAAGGCTGTAAACACTGGAGTCTGTACCAGCTCCCAGTCCATCCTCACACCATGTTATGGGTGAAGGGTCACAAGGTGTAACTCAAGCAACTTAACACATGAAAGTCTAAAGTCCGCTCTTGACATGTAAGTCTGTGCGTGCGTTAACTGAAAAATAAAAATAAAACAAACAAACAGAAAAACAGACACATTAAAAGATTCGCAGACCAAATTAAACAGAAGCAAAAGACAGCAAGGTGGACACTGGGAAAGGGCAGTCAGTTTGGCATTTGTGACGAGCAAACCAGAGAACTCGCTTCAGTTTGTGGCGTCCCAGGTCAAGATCTGGTTGGGAAGTAATTTTGCAAAAATGGATTAAAATTTGAAGAATAAGCACAGCCTATCAAAGCCATTCAACAAAATGGTCATGAAATGCACCCCCCATCCCCTGACCAGGGAAGGAGGAAGGGGTGCCCCCAGCCATCCTACCTATCCCACTCTTGGCCTCCACAAAGCCAGCCATGGAAAACAGGCCTCTTTTTCAGAGGCCAAACTGACTGAAGCTTTCTGCCATGTCCAGCAAACAGAAAAGATTTGTTTTCTAGGCCCAGGCCTGGAAAACATAACAAGGAGCCCAGGCCACATGGGAAAAGCAGGGAGACCAGACACCAGTGATAATAAGACCCCCAACCTGAGAGGTATGGCAGTACATCCCAGCAGGGCTAGTGGGGAACCTCTGGGCACTTGTGCCAGCTTGTACCCCATCCCCACTGTCCCTGACCTCACCCTTGGTCCTTGTCTTTGGTTTCTGAATGGTTTCTCCACAGCTTATTTCCTAGGAAACCCTCTTGTCTTTTCTTTAACAAGATGGCCTAAGCCAAACTGGCAGGGAACAGGGCAAGGTTGTTTTGGGTCACAGATTCCCATGTCCCCCATCTAAGGAGAAGACAGATTTCTGCACCTCCAGCCATAAAGATCCCAACTCACAGAGGCCCCATGCTCCCCAAGCCAAAAGCCAGACATGTGAGGAGGGTTGGAAATAAATGCAAAGCAGAGGGGAAATTCACATGGCTGAGAGGAGTATGGGGCTAGGGTTGTCCCTGGGGACTGGCATGGGCACATCTGTCCCAGCTATGCTAGCAGGTAGGGTAGGGGCTCAGGGCAGCTCAAGATCCAATGGTAGCAAGAGAAGGAAAATTATAGAAAGGAGAAGGGTCTGTCCCAGAGCAGAGGATAGGAATGATAATTTGCATCTAAATCCTAAATGCCAGATTCTGTCCCCTGGCCTTCCCCTGGGAAAAGTCCTTCAAGTTTCTTTCCCTTAGTCTGTGTCTGTATGCATGTATGTACTGAGTCTGTATATGCGATGAAAGACAGAATAAGTGAGACTGTGCGTGTGTGCTGTGTGTGCATATGTACAAGTTAAAGAATACATATATGGAGGGCAGGGGGGCTGATGGCAGAAGCAGCGGCCCAGGGCCACAGCAAGCTCTGTACTTTATGGCCCGAACCATAACGTTCCACTGCCACCAAGAAAGGAAGGGCCTGGACACAGACATTCCCAAGCATTCCAGGATTCCATGCCATCCAAGAGTGAGGGCCAGGATAGGTACCCCTGCTTAGTTCCTGGGTTGGCAAAGGAAGGAAGGCACCTGGTACAGGCCAGAGGCAGGGAAAAGCAGAGGTAGATGAGATCCTTACAGTGTCATGTGGTGTAGGACACCAAAGGAAGCAGGTAGGAAAGGGAGATTCCAGGAAGCCTGGGCATCTGGACTCCAGCTAAGCATGTGGAAAAAAAAAAAAAATTTACTGCCATCGAGTCGGATCTGACTCATAGCAACCCCTCTTTGGGTTTCCGAGGCAGTATCACTACGGAAGTAGATTGCCCAATCTTCCTTCCGAGGAGTGGCTGGTGGGTTTGAGCTGCCAGCCTTCTGGTTAGCAGTCAAGTGCCTTACTTGGGTACTACACCTCCAGAGCTCCCAAGGCTGTGGAAACAGGAGATTAAAAATGGCTAGGAGAAGTAACTCAGGGTTGCCCCCACCTGGTCAACAGATTGACTACACTAACTGAGGTCAGGAAGAGACTCCTTGCCATCCCCCATCCCCCAAGTCCACTTTCCAGAGAAATAATTCCAACTTCTACTTGAGGGGCAGCCCCCCTCCCTAGCAGGACCCACAGAGCCCCTACAGAGAGCTTCTGCCCTTCCTTCAGCCCTAAGCGCCTGTCAAGATAGCTGGGTAGTGATCATAGCATCCAGGAGTCAGCACTGGCTGAGCTCAAGTCTCCACTGTCCTCAGTTACCACCGGGCAGCCAAGCCATGTCAGCCCACACCCAGTGCCTCAGAGGCCGCAGGGGAGCATGTGTACAGCTGTCCAAGCAGGAACCACAGGAGCACTGGAATCTCACTCCCAGGTCCTGTCCCTCTCGTGGCCTGAAAGGCCTTCCCCTAGGCCTTACGGCCACAGCCTCTCCCTGCCTGTGAGATCCAGCCTTCACCACACTTCAGCAGACAATCCCTAGCAGCTGAGGGGGCTGCAGGAGAACAGATGGGTAAGAGACGGGGGGAGAGAGCAAGCAAGGCCACGTATGCAAAAGAGAACGTGGATATAAGAGGGAGAGATCCAGGTCCTGAGATGTCGAGACCACCAGTGAGAGAAAAAGAAAGGTGAGCAAGAAAGAGGTGGGAGGGCAAGTGAAAATGAGAGATATGATGACAAACAAGCAAGAACATGAGCAAGCGTAGGTGCAAAAGGGCAGGAGAGAAGGAGCAGGCACAGGGGAGGGAGCCCAGCACCTACTTCTTCTTGTCTTTGTCCTTCCTCAGAGGCTGCTGTGAGGTGGCATGAAAGGCCTGTAATTGCAGGGCCTCCACAGCAGCCTTCCTGCGGTTGAAGGCGTTGGTCTCGTCCTCCAGCTCCCGCCGCTTCTCCTCCACCTTGCGCTTCTCCTCCTGGTGGACCCGCTTCAGGTGCTCAAACTTCTCGTGGAGCTAGGAGTGGAAGTTGGGGAAGCCCAGACTTTGGTGTGGGCAGGGATGGAGCCCAGCTGTCCCCACTGCCTCCCAGCCAGGCCCTACTCTCCTTTCACCTGCTGCAACTTTTGTCTCCTCCCTACCACCCCAGGCCCTGCACAGACCTCCCTTTCCTTCTCCTTCAACTCCAGCTCTGTCTCCTTCACTTTGTTGACGAACATCTGCCTCATCTCTTCCTCCTTCCTCTGCAGCTCATTCTGGAACTCTTTCCTCTTGGCCTCATATGTCTCCTGTAGGCTGTGGGGACCCAGAGAAGAGAGGCCAAGGGTGTGGTTATGAGGGAAGGGGCAGGGGCAGATCCAGGGAAGCAGAAGCACAAGGGCCCTGGGGGTGGGAGGATGCTGGGGTATTGGCAGCCTCTCCTGCTCATCAGCCCCCAAAGACAGATGCCAGGGTGGCAAGTCTGGCTGTAGCCTTGGAGGTAGGCTCACTCCTTGTGCAGGTGGTCACCTGAAAGGCTGACTGTCACCATCACTGTCTTGGAAGCCCATCTCCTCCAATTTGCAGCGCCGATAGAGCTCATAATGCCGACTGTGGGTCTGCTCACGGAGGTCTTCCATGTTCACCCGGATCAGCATCTCCCGCAGCTTCACAAAATCGCAGTGATTCTCATTCTCCACTGAGAGCAGAGGGCATATGGGTGTCAGGCAGGCACATACATGGGCCCGGGAAGGGCAGGACCGAGGGCAGCAGCCAGGAAGCCATAGGTAAGACTCTACAGAATGAGGGGCAGGCACACAGGGAGGGTGGGGCCCAGGACAGGGTGCTGGAGGCAGGCTTGCAAAGGAGGGGAGCAAGGCAGGACAGGGAACTAAACTCAGGGCCCCCCGCTGGGTATATACTTGCCCTGCCACACTCACCCTGGACCACTCCCCAAGGGTACTGACGTGCTCGGACCAGCTTGTTCCCCACCTTCACCTCCTCAGTGCTGCCCACTACAGCAAAGGGCAGGTGTGCCTGGAAAGGGGCCCAAGAATTCATGAATACTAAGCTGACATACAGGTTAATGGACAGACTCCCCTCACTGCCCCTAGGCTTGGGAAGAGGCTGACCTGGGGCTGCCCAGACCTGAACAAAGGCCCCAAAGCCAGGTCCTCACTTCCTGGCTCAATTTTGGAGAAGTGTTTTGGAACCTCCAAACGGGAGTGGGCTGAACCCTCAACCTACCTTCCTGATGTTCTCCACTCTCTAGGCGTTCATTCAGCTCTTGAGTTCCTTGGGGGCATTAAAAGCTCCCTTGAAGGACCTGTGGGCCTGACTCCCTTCCCAGTTGCCAAACCCTGGCAGTATGCCTGCTTACTCCTACAGTTTCAAGTTCCCATCTGAGTCTAGACCTTGTGGAACTCAATCCATAGAAAGCTTCAGTGCAGGTCCAAAACCCAATTCTTCCCTTCCCTGGCCACACCCATTATCTGTCCTAGAGAGGCTAAGGCTGGAATTGTGGGAGGAACAAGAGTTTTTTGGGAATGTGTCTGAGATCTGTGCCAGCCCCAGTCATCTGGCTCTAGTGCCTTAAGGCCTTGCCCAGTGCTCACATTCATGACTGCATTTATCTCCGCAACAGCCTCATCATCAGTGGGAAATTGGTAGATCTGGACTCCATTGCTGACTAGCTCGCCCATGATCTTGATCTTGAATTTGTGGAGCTCACTCTTGGAGATGGTGTCAGCCTTGGCAATGATGGGAATAATGTTCACCTGCCAGGATCAGGGAGAGGGGGCAGCAGGTTAGTTAGGTATTTTGAGCAAAGGCTGTGTCTTGACCATGGACAGCGCTCCCAGGCACATCCCGGGGCAGAAAGGGAGGAAGCCAGAGAGATGGAGCTGCTGCCCTGGGTAGCTTTAGCCCTAACCCAGCTACCTGGCAGCCATCTAATGGGTTGTAACAATGAGCTGCAGTGCTTCCTACAGTCTTAGATTCCCCCAAACCACCCTGCCGGCCCAAAGTTAGTTTCATTGGGCAACCAAACTTCAACCCAGAGTACTCTGCAGGTCAACTGGTTGAGGGCCTGAGAGAGGCAGGGGGCTGAGCTCCCCACTAAGCAGGCAAGAAGACCCTATCAGAGGACTTCCAGTAAGATGGAGGAATAGGCAGACAAGCAACACAGACCCTCTTCAACAAAGAAAAGAAAAACCAATTGACAGAGATATAGAAGATAATCCTGGAGCCCTGAGCTTTGAAAGGAACTATACAGAAGTGGTTTAAGCATCAATTAGTGGAAAAACCTGAATGAAAACAGTGAGTACAGAAATGGTTGGAGCTGCAGACTGTCAGCTACTCTGACAGGACCAACAGCCTGAATATTTCCAAGTGGTGGTGGGGCTTGAGAATTAACCTAAAGATGAGCCCTGGTCACCAAGGGCTACAGGGACAACTGCGCTGGTGACGTATGACTAGGAAGGGAAACAGCAAGGAGGGAGACAACCTGAGCTGTTGACTTTCTGCTGTCCAGAGGGCGCAGCCTTTTTGATTGTTTATATGCGGCAGCCATTTTGGATATTTAAAGTGACTGAGGGCACAGCCATTTTGAATCTTTACAAGTGGCAACTATTTGGGATTTTAAAGTGATAGCATTCTCATCTGGATTCCAGGGACCTAGGAATAGGCTCTGTTTGTCAAGGTCAGCAAGGATATATGAGAGGCTAATAACAGGAAAGGAGACAGGTGGTGAGTGTATAAGTGCTGTCAACTGGTGAACAGAGGAGCACAATACCCTGCTTGCGTAGATAACATACAAAGAAAACAGAAATTGTGGGCAAGTCACTCCAACATACAATCACCAATTAAATATAAATACAAAAACATCACAATGCCTCAAAGACAACAGAGCATCACAGTCCACACAAAGAAGCAAGATAAAGCAGGAGAAACAAGAGACCAGGATACAGACCCAAAACACATCCCTGAGGAAGATGCA